GGATCAACTTAACTCTCGACTTCTCAGATGGTTTTCTTCGGTTCGTTATTTATTTACGTCTTATGCTCACTGAAAAAATAAATTTATTTTCTCAAAGATGCGAAAGAAAATTGATGACAGAGAATTCTGCCTGTCAATTTTCGAAATCGGCAAATCGACGTGAGTCTTTCCATAAATTCATGGCACTTGTCATATATCCAAAAATCAATTCACTGTGGCAATCAGTATTTTCATCATTTCGTTACTCATTATCTTTGATTGATTAATTCTTGATTCGATTGTGCGATCGAGACTTTCGTTATCACTTCAAGTGTTTAGAAGATTGATCCTAAGTATTGTGTTGACAGTGCGATATATTATGTTATCAAAGTCCTGAGAAAAATATAATTCTACATTTTATATCAATAACAATATAAATATAATATAATATAAAAATATAAATAGACATAATTTCTCGGCTTGTGAACACTTAAAAATTATCGCGCAACAAGAGAATCTCATTCTGTTCAAAACATTTTCTCTCAGTCCGAGAGCCAAATGATTTATCAGGAGATTCCACCATTTTTTAAATTGACGTGATAATATTTTCTCGCATCAAGCACATCATCTTCGTGAGAAGTTGCCTCTCTGATTGTACAAAAATCCGGAATTTTTCCGTGATACAAATTTATCAATGAAAAACTTCACTGACGAACTCCCTACGACGACTGAATAATTATCACGAGACAGTTTTCCATTAATTATCATTATTCTCATCACAATATTGTGTTACCTCTCTGGAATATTGTCGATTCAAGAACATATCTTTGCCGTGCAGTATTCCATGTAATTAATCAGAGGAATATCCCCGGGGTATTTAAATATAGTCGGAGTTGATATAATAATTTCGATTAAAAGTTAAAATAAGGTCATGAAGAGTTGTGAGATGGAAAAACTGGGGAAAACAGAAATGTTTTAACTCATTTGTCCAATTCTGGTGGGCACTTGGTGGAGTGGGAGTTGAGGTCAGCCAATCGAGTTCAATAACTCCAGTGCATGTTAAATTAAAAGGTGTCCCCACCATATTTTAATAACACCCTGTGCAATTCAACTCTCATATTTCAAATATTAATCTCATTATTCCTTGGTCTCGTTCATTTTAATTCCGTTAATATTTGTTAATTTTTCCGTTTCACCAGTCGTATCTCCAATTTTTTATTTAAATTATTCAAAGAATACAACGGAAAAATGTAAAAATTTTGTAAATATTTAATGAAATTGCATTGGTACTTCAATTAATTGCTTTCGTGAACAATTCAGTTTTGATAATAAAAGATGTTTATACAATTGACAATTTAAAAAAAAAATCTCCCAAAATAATTCCCGTAAAATAAACCAACACATGCCTGTAATTTTCACGACATTTATATTCTCTGGAGCTTTCCCGTCAAATAAATTTATTTTTCCAACAAAATTTCACCTCTCATTCCTAATTAAACGCAATTCTCGTTCTACCGCTCTGAAAATCGAGTTCATCGTTTGTTCATATAAAAATTATCCTCTGAATATTCGAATCTCCAATTAACCATTCATATCGCAAACCAACTTGCAGCTCCACATGTCCCTGAAATAAAAATAAAAATGAATCCGTTCTACCACTAGAACTCACCAATTGCAACTAAAAATAATTCGATTTATTAATTTTCCCTAATTATCACTGATGATTACAAAAGTTACACTGGGATTTTCATGTGAGAGATCTTGGAATTTTGAAAATTGAATTTCTTGGATTTTGGAAAATTGATTTTCGTGAAATTTTGAGACTTGACGAACCACTCAATTCTTTATTCCAATTAACTTTAAAAAAATGTAGATTTATTACAATTACTCCTTAATAATTCCAAAAACTCAAAGCAAACATTTCCCAATTTTTAATCAATCGAAGATCGAGAAGTTTTTCTGGGAAATTCGGAATTGAATTTCCTCTTTCCAGTTCGAATTCGAGTTCTTTGAAATTCCTGAAGTACTCGAAAAATAATTACTAAAACAATAAGAAAAGTGCCCGGGGACAGCGACAAACGGTAAAATATCGTCTGACTAAAACTGAAAATTCGGTCGGAGTGTTGGGAATTATGGGATAATACCTATAACATATTGATACTACAGGCCGAGACGATGAAATTTGAATCATCGAATAGTTGGGCAAACACTATGGGCACAATAGTAGCCGATAGGTATGCGGACATATCGATCACTATTTGCTCGATTGCACCGCATACCTTAATTCCAGCACTCCACCTTATGTATTAAACGCTTATGTACCTACCATTAATTATTCTGTCCATACGTGCACTGAGAGACGATTAATTATCCAGATCAAGACATTCAAATCATTCGCCATTTCATCTGATTAAATCGCTGAATAAGATTTTATCGAAATTTCAGTGGCAATATCACTGGAATATAATTCTTCTCAAACATTTATTTATTTAATTACCTTCCTTCCAATGGAAGAAGAAAAAGAGAATTTATAAATTTTATATTAATATTAAATATAAATTTATAATCATTTAAATCATCAGTTTAATTCTCCATAAATTCATTATAATTTTCCCTAAATTCTATTTTCTTTAGACCATTGAGGAAGCCTGAGATGAAGTAGAGTGAAATGATAAAATCATTTGTAAATAGAATGACTCCGATAACACAATATCAAGTTGATGTCAACCTCCCGGATTCACGATCCCTGGATGACGATAAATTGTGCTAGAAGTTGAAAGTCTAATGACTGTACTGGCACCTAATTCTTTACAATCACAAACACCCTGATAAATCCTCCAGGTTATCAATAAATTCCTGCGCATCTACTTCCCTCTGGAGAAAGCTCTTCAAGTTGAAAAAGCTGAAGGTGAGAACCATAACGGTCCATTAGTTGGTGCGACAGTGGCAGAATCCAATGATATACGTTTCTTGCCAAAGAAAACCGATAAGATTCATTCTTTCCTTCTTGGCTTGCGGTAGTCCCTTTCTTCCACCAGCCCCTATCCTTTTTATACTCAGAAAATTGATGCGACAGGCCTTTCAAGATCACCCGATTTATCACCCTGAATTTTCATCCCCCAAAAAAACCCCCAAAATTCACGAATAACGATGAGAAAAATGTGAAGACGAGTGAATAGAAAAAAAAAACTGCAGTTGTGTTTCTAGGAATTTATAAACTGGCGTTCATTTTACCCTGAAAAAGTTTTTAGCACCAGAAAGTGAGCCACTGGTTTCA